ATCGTCGATGATGTAATTATCTTGAGTTATCAAGAAATACTGATCATTATGCAAGTCGTTGTTTTTCTATTTGTTTTTCAAAATGTATGTGTATGTTTGGTTGCAGACTGTTTCCTGAATATTCCGAAAGATGTCTCTACTTCTATAAATTAAATCGCATAAGAATCGAAAAGTAATAAGCATTTAAATTTTTATATTGAAGTAATAACATAATATTCATTCAAGCATTATTCTGATATGGTTGTTTATTAAAATTAGATCGTTTTTAAGGAAGTGAAATTTGTGCAGCGCCAAAATGCCTGAACTACAACCTTTGTTATATTACTAACAGATGGCGTCAGCTGTCACAAAAAATGGAAAATATATTACGCGCCTAAAGTACAGGCAACCAAACATACATGTACAATTTTCTGAACAATTAGGACGACTTAGACAACGACTTAGATAATGGCCTTTATTTTCGTAAATTTGAGCTCCCAGAAGAATTTTATATTTGGATGTTGATCTTGAATATAGACGGATTAAAATGAGTATAAATGTTAATTTGTAGCTGAAATGGTGTCCTCGTAAATGAATAACAAACTTTGGTATTTCACAAATGAGTTGGGGAAATAGCGTCTTCGAAAATGGCCTGTATTTTCGTATACACCATCTCTCAGTAGATTTTTGGACATTAATGTTGATCTTGAATATATAGAGATTAAAATGAGTGTAAATACAAATTTGTAGCTACCATACCTTCATCACAATTAATTATCAAACTTTAGTATTAGATAGTTTGGAAAAGTACGTTTTCGAAAATGGCCTGTATTTTCGTAAGCACTTGCTTCCAGAAGAATATTGAATATGAATGTTGATCTAAAATATACAGAGATTAAAATAAATTAAAATATAGATTGACAGTTATATAAAATACTTTTAGTCTTTTTCTGGAAATTTGATGAAAATAAACATTTTTGTTTTTGCAGAATTTTCAATGCATCTAGCTTTCAGAAATGTTTTCCAGTCTCTAAGGATCATGTAGGAAGTAATAGAATCATGGGTGCTATAGGGTTGATAGTTGTTATCCGTCTCCTTTATGAAGTAATATTTATGGTTACTTTTAGCAGTTAAGATTTCCACTATTTGCAAATGAAAACTGCTAATAAAGAATGCTTTTCACCTTTTGGGGAACTTGAGGTCATCAACTATACATCAGAGGCATGTTGCTATCAACCTCCACCTAAAATAATAATAATTGTATCGATGATTGTTGACTACTTACTTC